TACCATCGTTTAGTGGTTTACGTTCCCGTGGAAAGCGAGCTTGTTTCCACTCGACTAAGAATGTATGGCTCACCTCTTCAAACTTGTTCTCTCACGCATAGTTGGATCCACCTGACACCCCAAACTGTCGAACTATCTATCCTGACTGTATTCAACTATTTTGCTACTGCATGCCCAAGATAAGTTGGCAGAGAGTACATAATTTACTAGCTGTTCATTATCTACCCTCATTTATATTAGAACGTGATACTAATTATGTCTTGTTGGTATCTGAAACTTTTTCGGAGTTTTGACGTGGAACGTCTGTCAGGTAACTATGGAGCTTACTCTAATATCAGTTGCGTGGAGTCCTTTTGTAACTGTTTAACCACTGGCAGCATCTAATTTCAATGGGTTTTTTCCTCCTTCCAGCAGCAAGCAATACTCTATACTTAGCAATTGCCTGTCTTTGTAATTCCCCTAGCTTCGTCTGTTCAGCGACTTGCGCTACTGAATATGTCGTTATCAGAGAGGATGTCCGGCTTCGTTCGGCAGTCAATTGCCAACTACTGGGGCGCCGGTATTATTTTCTTCCATTATTAAAATGTTGGGTTTACAATTCTACTCACGTGGTGCTCTTGTGCTATTGTACATCTCGGTGGATTCGCGGCTTTCGATGAACAGTTGTCACCACACGATCCACCGGCGCTGAGGCCGGCCTAATTTTCGCAGACTCATTTCTCACGGGCCTTAGCGAGCGGCCGCGGCATGATACAGCTCGGTAGCTTGGAAACTCTTAAGATAGGTCTGATACCACGGTGTCTTACACAGGATTTTGGAATGCTTCGGAATACTGATAGCTCCGATTGATGATACAGTTGTTCATTTGTTCTCCGAACTTAGCGGTTTGGTTGCTGCAAACGTTTCACCACCATGCGAAGTGTCATCCTCAGTGTAGTGAGTTGCAACATGCAATCCTACTGAATAAATCGTCGATCCGTGATCGACCAGCAGGTGACTTTTGAAAGTGGCAGCCTCGAGTTGCGTCCTGTGGTCTCCAACAATTTCCCCACGATTGCACTCGGTGCCCGAGTTATTTTGTTTTAAACCATGTGACAGAATCTTCCTTATTCCTTTCTGTCGAATTGGTTTGTAAATTTCATCGATGTAGACACGCATATTGATTGAGTTCTTCGTTGGTTCTTATAGTCGGCTATAACATTCGACAGTCACTAGTTCAAGAGCACCTTCCCCTTACACCAAATGGTGTCGAACAGAGAAGTCGCGGCAGTTGCTAGTGAGCCACGGCCTACTGCTAAAAGCGACCCTAGTAGTGTTTATATTGATACTGATGTATGCATACCGAGAATACTCATAATCCTCGTGAGTCGTTTGATCATGCAGCATTGTTTTAAGCGGCTGGGCATTCTAAGTTAAAAGGTTCAAATACGCGCTTAAAAAGTCCATACTTAATTAGTCTCTCTGTTCCTGATTACTGTTGAAGAAGTGCAATGCCAAATGGTGAAATTCTTCATCCGAATTTATTTTCCAAATCAGGCTGAAACTATTTCCATGGGTAGTATGCTCCTTAGTATCAATTTTTGCGGATCCTTAGCAGAGACATAAAGTGTCGAAGTGCAGCACGCATGTGCTAACCACATGCCACAGCCAGCTACATATATGGTGTTTAGGGCTGGTCATTTATTCATTGACAAACCTTGTTCTAATGACGGATGCACGTTACTTAGATCAATGTACAATGCCCCGTTTTATCCTAACCGAGCTACTAACTAATATCAAATCCAAACGTGGCCCTTGAAGATTCGAACCGAACATTTTGTTCTTTCAGTGCTAACTAAACTTCTTACTCTTTTCCCCCGAGTGGACAGTTCCACAATCTCTTCATCTGCCATTGACAGAAACATAGTACTCAATCAACTGCTGGAGCAAATGGCCCGGCCGGATTATCTCTTTTTGTCCTCAAGATGTGTACCGATTCCTTGACCCAGCCTCTTGCTAACCTGTACACGTCGTGCATACAAGAATGTAAAATTGCCGACTGTTGGAGAAATGCTAGAATTGCACCGGTGTCAAAGCATGGCTCAGATACACACCGGCCAATTGCTTGCACCTCAGTCAATTTGAAACTCTTCAAAAACATTATTCTTTCTGATTATCCGCTTCAGTTTGCTCACCGTAGAGTGAGGTCTACTGAAGACGCACTAGCCTATCTTATACGTCCAGTGCTGGCGTCACTGGACAATAAGATCAAATCCGTGCGAGTATGTTTTTTCGACTATAGCAATGTGTTCGGCGGTGTAAACCGTGAGCTTCTTTTGAGAATTCTATATGATGCTGGAACTTGACCTCCCACTGTCCACCTACTGAGGGACTATTTTGCTGGACGTGCCAAGTTTACTCGAGTTGGGGGTAAAATTTCCTCGCTACTCTTCAGGGAGTCATATTGTCACCATACCTTTCTTCCACATATGTCATCTCATTACCCGCTCCTGTCGAAGCAATATCGCTGAAATATGCAAACGATATGGTCTGAAGTATCCCGCCTCCGATTTCAGTGTGTATGTATGTATGTAATCTCAACAGTCTAGTAACTAGACATAGAGCCAACAAAGCCATGGAAATTAGTGGATAAGAGACAGTCATTGCGTCATAATCGTCGTGGCATGCTAGTTGAAGGTGGACAACACACTTCAGCTAATATGCCGCAAGAAAATGGAATATTTTGGCAAAAAATACAGAACAAAACATTTTTAGTTTGTTTGTCACACGCCGATTTTTCTCTTTTTTTGTTATTTTCAATATTAGTAAAATTAAACATGTGAATCAATACAACACTGTACACAATTCTTCCACTGATTCCGGTTGCGGGCCGTCTTCAAGAGTCCTAAGCCATTGGCACTCCTCATCTTTGGGTCCCCATCCTGGAAGACGTACGGGTCCAACAGCGGCTAGACGCGACGTCAGCGATTTCATGTGCTGCCGCCAAGTGGAAGGCTGACCACCACGCGGTCGCTTCCAGCCAGGTCCTTGACGAGCGAATAGAGCGCGACGCGGTAGACGCTCAGGTGCAATGCGTAGGACATGACCGAGCCATCTTAACTGGCGCAACAAAACCAGTTTGTTGAAGGAAATACATGCATTCCCCAAGACGCGACGTCGAACGTCATTACTGGTAACTCGATGTTGCCACCGAACACGAGCGGTCCTCCTTAAGCAACCGTTATCGAACGCAGAAAGACGATGCATGTCTTCCACGCGAATCGGCCAGGACTCGCTCCCATACAACAATACTGAGCGAACTGACGCGCTGTAAACTCGGCCCTTTAGTGAGAATGAGACGTCACGACGACGCCACAAGTGCCTCAGATTGACAAATGCTGATCGAGCTTTAGCGATACGAAGCGAAACTTCTTTGTTGATAGTGCCGTCAGCGGAAACACAGCTCCCAAACAGGGGCCCAATACTCCCCCTGAAGTCAGCACAATTGCTGGAATACAATGCCCCACGGAGGTGGAACGTTGTCGCCGAACACTTTGCTGGAACGGGGTACACCCGAACCACCCAGCTGGCACCACGAGGATGTAGTTCGGCAAGCCAGCCATCCGATTTCAGCCTCATCAACCAACTTACAAGCCTATCTGAACGACCTTGCGCTATGGTCCAGAGCTCACTTTTTATCGCTAAATGTATTAAAAAGCAGTGACGTTCATTTTTCAATTAACAATGACCGTCGTTACTAGCAACTTCTAATGGATCGGTCTTTAATTTCACCTAGATGGTGAGGGGTTGCACTCCACCGAGTCTGTGAAGTATCTTAGGTGTTGCACTCAGCCGTGACGTATCATGGTCACTCCATGTAAGTGCAGAATTTACAAAGGTGATGAGGCTTTCCTTTTACGCTGCTGGTTCACGATCCTCCTCTGTGCCCCGTTACCTAATACTGCGATTTATCACCACTTGTGTCTTACCTCACCGTACTTAGTGCTCATCTGTGACATTCCCAGGTTCCCTAAGAAATCATTTCAAAACCCCCAGATATGTCATTGATACAACTGTCTCAATGTAGTGGTATTCTAAAACCGACCTTTGTTGACATTATTGTGTCTACTCATTCCAGTTCATACAAAAGGTTTGCTTCAAAAATACTCGTTATTACAAGTCACTTTATGGTGTACTCTCTGACTGTATATTAAGCTCCTCAATGAGACAAAAGTACAGATCTATATATTCCCATACAATAGCTTCCCACATCCATAATCCTATAGTTGGCGCTCAAATTGTGTAACCAGTCCTCAGTCCTTATGGGGAGTGCAATTAACTTTACATGGTAACAATATTGCTATCTTTGCTGCTGTCTGTTCTTTTTACAATGCTGTAGGCGTGTGTGTGACAACTGAATATACACCCTCGGGTGCATATAGCTCTCTCTCGAATTGCAATTCAGTCTTGTCATTAGAACCTCAAGCGATCTGGCAGTTTTCACTCTCTCTTATCATACTTCGATTATGCTCTGAAGCGTGCAACGAATTAGTATGGAAGGAAGCGTTTTGGGTTAGTTCATTTCTGATGTGCACGCAACCGTTTGCCGTGAATCTGGCGAACAGGTTCCGGAAAATTCGGCTGAAATAGTTTCTGTTTTTTGCCTGTCAACACGCGGTTCCACATTGAATCGCTCTCTCCTTGCCCACTTCTTTCCAAATCCCAAACCATGCACCTCAGGACAACTTTCCACCTGCATCTTTTCGATGTTCGCTTTCTTATTATTATGCGTCTTAAATGTTTTACGGAGTAAAAAATCTAGGTAGGCATTTTTACAACCATCTTATTAAGTCGCACAGTACTCTGGACCGCTGTCTCATTATTTGTCAACCATGTTCTACGACGCATGCTCCTTGCAAACTACTGTCACTTGGTGTGTTCTGCTAGCACTATTTAGCGGACTATTTTGCTTCTCACCGACCATTACTTCTCACCGTGCCTGTGTCTACTTCTTCGTTTAGGTTTCCCTACTGTCGTGTACATACTATCACAACGAGTTCCCGGGTAGTGACACTAAATCTTTTGGAGGAGGATGGCAGCGTTAAAGGTCGAAACTATCAATTGGCGACTCCCCGTCTGGCAAGCGCATTGTACCGGGCGGTTACGGAAGTTTACGCGTTCTTTCGCTGTGACTCCGTGAGGAAAGAGGTACTTTTGCAAACACGACGAGACCTCAAAGACGCTATCACTTTCCATCATAATGGTAGGTTTCATTTCCGTTTTTCATATGAATTGGCCTAACACTTGTTTCACAGACACTCGAGTAGATTGTTTTTGCACTTCACCGCGACGAAACTGGACCTTAACATGTTTGCGATGAATTGCGTGCCTCAGTAATCCACTGAGCTATGCTGGGAGATGCATTTTTGCATCCGCAGAGCCACTCATACCAGATAGGTCAGTGGTTAGAGGCCAGACAAACTCAGCCTCCAGCACCTTCATGTTGGGAGTTGGAGTTAGGGTGGTTCCTTACTCTATAAAACGGGCTCTCTATAGCCCAGTGCCAAACCCCGCTGCCTAGCGGTAAGGTGTTTGAACCAAGGTCTTTGGTTGAGAGCCGTAATCGTTCTCCTGTCCAGGCCTTGGCAACCTGACAATATCCTGCCCGCGCAATATAACTCAGTAAACTTCTCTCCACCCGATTTCTTGATGCTTTAGCCGTCACAAAGATACTTAACACCGCCATATCTGCTGTATCAATCAGGGTGGATGGGGGTTTGGATGCTGCTGCTCAAGCCTTCCCGTCTTCTTAATCCGCTCCTCTCGCTTTTTCATCCTTAGCTTCCCTTTCCAACTTCACTTTTATCCCCCTGTTTTCAATTCCTCGATTCTTGACCCTCCCCCCACTTGCTTCAATAGTCACTTGTCTTCTAGTTTCATCATCATCAACAACCACAGCAATACATCAGCCATTTGAACTGATGATTCGCTGCCATGCACTCATGATGACCTATGAACTAAAGAATACTAAGAGGGAGAGAAGGGAACTTACCTGAAAACCTTAATGCCCTAAGCAAACTTTTAGGGCCAAGACGCCTACACCTTGTGTAGACAACATACTGTCACAACGAGCTGGCTATCGTGCAAAGATAAGGCGGCATCGGCGAGACAGCTTCCTTGCGGCTTTCACTGCCACGTCATAGTCAGCCATTACCCCGCAGATAACTCAGCACCAAACGCACTTTAAACAGGCAATCCGATTAGGAAACGGCAGCAGACGCGCCACTGGTGTCGGTTGTGAGCCATGTCCTGTAAAGTCTCGAGCCAAGCACCAGGCGAGTCACGTGGACTCCAGCCGGAAGATGAGACGTACCAACGGCACCCAGTTTGGTCGTCAGTGACTGCATTTCCCGCTGCCAAGTCAACTTCTGTCCACCTCGAGCCTTGCGCCACACTACATCTGGCAAACTAAACAAGTCCCTCCTAGGTAAACAATGACCAGGCATGCGTAGCACGTGCCCGAGCCAATGCTACTTACTCAGTGCTAGCTGTTGTTCTAGGGAGCTAGCATGATTATCACCACCCAGTACTCGCCTACATACGTCATCGTTGCGGACACGCTGGTGCCATCCGACACCAGCAATGCTTCGCAGACAACGGTGATCAAAGACTTGAAGGCGCCTCAGATCTTCAGACCGAAGGGGCCAAGTTTCACTACGATACAACAGAATGGCCCTCACTGTGGCCTTTTATACACGGTCTTTCAGTTGAAGGGAGTCTCCCTTCTGTCACCAAAGATGCCTCAGGTCCAAGAAGGAAGCACTGGCCTTTGCAATGCGTGAGCTGACGTCAGTTTCTATGTGCCCATCTTTGCTGATGCAGCTGCCAAGATAGGTGAATTGATAAAGCACCTCGAGTTCTTCGTTATTAAGGGTCAAGGTGTCATAAGGTGGCTGGTGGTCCTGCAGCAACACTTTGCACTTTGAAGGTGCAAAGCGCATACCAAGTAATGGGACCACTCTAGACAGGCTATTCAGGGTTGATTATGCCACCGCAACATCGTCGAAAAGCAAAATGATATCGTCCGCATAATCTAGATCAACTAATCTTTCACCAGGCAGCACTTCAACGCCTACATCGTGAGATTCCGCAAGGAAACACTCCATGATAGAATCCACGACGAAATTGAACAAAAACGGGGAAATCGGGCAATCCTGACGAACGCCACTTGTGGTCGGATAGCTATCCGATAGGACATCGTAGACCCTGACGCGACCTGTAGTGTTCGAGTATAGAGCACGTAGCATGTTCAAAGATTTCGTGGGAACATCTCTTCGCGCGAGTATTTTGAACAGAATCGATCGATCGATTGAATCGAACGCACTCTTTAAATCGAGGAACACAGCTATTGTCGTTCTGCGGTATGTGTGGCGCTGCTCTAACACCTGCGGCTAAGTGGATATATGGTCTATACAGCCATGTCCTGGGCGGAAACCGGCCTGCTCTTCCCTAATCCGAGATTCCCGTTCCACAGTGAGGCGATGAACGAGAATCGAAGCCAGTAATTTTGTCACAACTGGTGTTAGGCTAATACCCCTGTGGTTAGAACAGTCTGTGTGACTGCCCTTCTTGCATATTGCCACTATAATCGATTCGCTCCAATCAGCCGGGACACTCTCTTCATTCCACATACGTTCGAATAGGGTGGTCGGAGCTTTGCAGAGGACCTCACCTCCATCTTTAAATGGTGCAGGTGGGAGGGAATCCAGGCAAGCGGCACGAAAATGATTGAGGGCTGTGATCGCATTTCGGATCTCAGCCTCCTATGGGGCCTCTAAACTAACCGTCCATGGCTCCTCCTGCATCACCTGAGTAGGAAGAGGTTCGGGAGCAGGTGGCCAGCTGAACTGATCTTGGAAGTGTTCCGCCCAACGAGCCATACGGCGCTCCTTATAGTGTATCAGTGCACCCGCACTGTATCTGATTGCATCACTGACGCCTGGTTTTCTGGAACCAGTGGTGCGAATCAGCTGGAAGAGCTTGCGGTAATTGCCTATTGCTCCTACCTCCTCCATTTCTTTAGCCCTACTGGTCCGCCAGGCTTCCTTGTCAGCAAGTAAACTCCGCTTTAGTTCGCGCCTAATAGCCCGTCTAGTTACATTGTGCTCAGAGCCAGCCGAGAGGTTTCTTCTAGATTACAACAGGTTCACCGACCTTTCGGATATCTAGTGACTGGTGCGGTGACCATTGATAGTGCCACAAGCAGATGCTCTTGCGTCGTGCCTGGTGGCCGAGATCCTATTCCACTGAAGCTCAATGTCATTAGGACAAGACAGCGAAAGTTCGGTACTCAGTGCGTCATGATAGGCTTGTCTGACCGAGGGCTGAGGTAATTTCTCCGTTGCCAATCGGAGAGAACGCTTGGTGCGCCTCCCGGTAAACTTCATGGAGGAACCACACCGTACCGAGACGTGATCAGAGTTAACACAGGTATTCCAGTACGAGCGGCAATCCAGGATGGAACCACGCTATCTGTAACTTACGGTTATATGGTCAATTTGGTTCCATCGCAGGCCAGCTACAGGAGGACGCCAAGTGGTACCTCGGCGCTTACTGTGTCTAGAAGCAGTGCTACTATAAAACTACTGGTGCTCGGCACACAATTGTAGCAGACGCTCACCGTTGTCAGTCCATTCGGAGTTAAGCCCATAATTACCACCCAGCTGAGCTTCTGAAGAGCTCAGACGTCCTACTTGCAAGTACTAGAATACCTGAACTAGTAGCACTGCCTAGTAGCGCGTTCAGTTCGTGATAGAATGTGTTGTTGACAGCATTAGAACTGCAGTCGGTGGGAGCATAAGCGGAAATCACAAACAAACAGCGTTTTGTACTACTTCGTGAATCAACCTTAGCTGATATCGTCAAACGTGCTGCACATAAGCGGCTGTTCACCGGAATCCAATCGACGAACGATGGCTCAGCCTACACCAGCTTTACCCGTGAGTGCTGCATCAGTGTCTCCGGATGCTTGCAACCAATAACGAGAGGATAAGCCGGGTGCAGTTAATTCATCAACCCCTTGAGGGTTATTGATCCTAGTTCCGGACGCACAGCACACATCAATACCCAGTGTGTCCAAGGTGCGTGCGAGTGCAGCCTGTCGACCCATTTGTCTTAGAGTGCGAACGTTGAACGTCGCCATGGAAACGGGAGTGTGGCCTTATAATGGACTGTTGCTGATAGGCGTCCGGTGCGTGTCGCGAGAAGGTGGCTGCAGATGGTTTTACTCCAGTGGCACTTCGGCTGCTGTCAATTAAGCTAGGAATTATGGAAGGAAGGTTAGTAATGGGGGTCGGAATGGGAGTAAGAGAAACAGGTGGAAAAGAAAGAAGAGAGGCGCCAGCAGTAGCATGTTTTCACTTATCCGCCCTGCTGTATGCATTAGATAAGGCGACCCTTGATAATCTGCGCGACGGTCGATGCAGGATGAAGTTTATGTTGGAAGAAAAAGTCCTGGTTATATGTGGGCTGGGATACTGCCAGGTCGCCCAGACCTAGACAGGAGGACGATTAGGGTCCTCATCCAAAGCCTTTGGCTCAAAAGCCTGTCCACAAGACAGCGGGGATGTGGCAAGGATTTAGTTTTACTGAAATGGACGCCATCCCATTTCAAACTCCCAACCTGGAGGACCAACAGACTGAGTTTGTCTGACCTCTCACCGTTGACCAATCTGGTAGGAGTAGCACACAAGCTGCCCGGAGGCGCCACCGAGTATACCTCAATGGGTCAGGGAGGTACGCAGACCGTCGCACCACGTTAAGGTCCGGCCTCGTAGTTTCAAATCACACGCAATCGCAGGACACCGCTCCAGTCCAGTTGAGAAGTCCATGTTCCAGCAAGCGGACAATGTTATTTCACTCGGTTCTCTTTAGAACCCCCGATCCTCGGTAAGGCTGGCATGCCTCAGCGTGCACACTTTGTTATAGATTGGCCAACAAGCAGCACTTGCCCAAACACTAGAGACCCTCTCGATCAACATCTGCTGCTTATCGGAAACCTGCCTGCAAGATGCAACTCCATGCTTACCCTGGTGGTTCGTTCTCATTGGATTCGTTTGGAGATAACGCAGCTTCAGATACTAGTTAGGCCGATGTGGGCATTGTTCGCCGTCCCTGGGCTGAAGATGCCCTGGTTGACTGGATCCCAATGAGCAAGCGGATGTGCGCCGTCAGGCTGGCTGGCACGTTCAGAGCTTCAAGATC